GATTTTAACTATCATAATATCTATTTCAGTTTATATAAATATAAATTCGTTTAGTAATATCGTAATTGCATGGAACACACTTCGATTTTTTTCTGGGAAATACTTCGTGGAAAATAATCGAAAGGAGATATCGAAAAGGTAAAATGGTATTGTAACCGATTCTCCACGCGTTCGATCTATAGGTACACACTGTATCGACAACAACCGATCAACTTTTACAGAAACGAGAACTTTTACAGAAATGAAATAAATTGACAAAACTCAAAATATATTATGATTTTTGTATACTAGTGTAGACATAAACGATTCTTTGGAATTTCCGAAAAATCGTACATGTATATCCGTTTAAATTAACTTATTTAGGTGGATACACAAGAACCAACCACGAAATTGAAAAGAATTAACCACTATTTACGAGTGGTACCTTCCACACTGTTCATTGACATGCTTTCTGTAAACATCGGTTGGCATTTTTGACATTATTATTTTTAATTCTACAATTTTTCCCTGAATTCGTAAAACATTATGCGTAAGAAATAATATATAGATAAAGTAAGGAAATATATACATAGAACAACAATTGAACTATCAGATACGTTAGACGAGTTGTAAATAGTAACGAATTGGCTAACAAAGCAAACAGTCACTGCGTTTGTGAAGAAAAATTATTTAAAACAAATGTAATTATTTTATGTTCACATAAATAAATCGAGATTTTTAGTTATAGTATAATATAATTTTATAATGTAATTAGTGTAATATAATTACGTTATACTTCTTCCACACTTACTGAAATGAAACTACAAGTGCCATGAAACGATGAAACAACTAAATAAAACTTGAACCAATGTAAAATATTGTTGAAAAAAATATCTCAATCGATTCTGATATCCAATTGGTCTAGATCAACCAATGCCATTAGAATTAATTTAAGAAAACCATAGATGATGCTGTTAACAAATAATTATACTAATATCTATATGAAATTGATATGAAATATATTTATAAATAAACATAATTATCGTAATCACATTTCTTGATGTGTAATCATAGAAAAGCCGCATATTTTCTATAATTTCAAACTATATATTTACTATTGTCTCCACGTATGCCACAATTTCTATTTGTTATTTAAATATTCGAAATATTTCATTTTCGTAATTATTAATTATTATTTTTTTTTCATTTTTCATTTTTACAGTCCAGTACGTAATTCGGCTCAGTATTTAGTGTCAAACGAAAATATATCAGTAATTGTAATTGATTTTCTGACTAAACTTAATTTCCTTGAAAACGAACCTTTAAAAAATGCTTACCGTACATGTATTTATTCGATATCTGTCATACAAATGATGAATAATCATTTATTTACCAGCTAATAAAAAATGACACGAATTAGGGTTAATTTTTTATTAATTGATAAACTAATAATCTGTACAACAGATTTTAAATTATCCAAATATATTACATACTTTGCAAGATATTATAAAATTGAATATTGTGTTTAACATGTTATATATATCTAAGTTACATATAAATCGATTAATATGGAGTTATATATTAAATAACATTTTTTGGAAAAGAAAACAAAGAACAAAAAGCCAAATGACAATAATGTTATATTGTAATAAATTTAATAAATATAACGTTGTATATGTATGTATAATGTATTACAAATCTTTTACACTTATGTAAGTATTCATTGATGAGTTA